CGAGATTTGAAGATAATGCAGGTTGTTAATTGTTTACTTGTAAACATAGTAACTGTTTATATATGCTGACCACTCAACATTTGAAGTCGTAAAAACATAGTGTTTTTATGTAGAACTTTGATAGCTAGTTGTATGAAATTAGAAATGTTTACCAAATAGAATCTTTAATATACTTTTATGTAAAGACTAGTGTTTGTGATGACAAGAGAAATCCATTTCAAGGAATCAGTTTCTTGAGATAGTCGTATGTTTAAAAAATAATGTTGGGTAGGACAGTGTTTTTGCTTTCATCGTCTAAACCATACACACCCCGTTCACATTTTTAATGACTTCAGAGTAACATTGTGACTTGCATATTTTGAATAAATTTCCCCTTCCTCTCTTCTTTCACTAGAACTGCTTTAAGTATTATATGAGTGACGATATTAGCCGTGACTCAGATGGAATGGATGAACAATGTAGGTAGGTAACGAATTCTTCATTCAATGTTAATGGTTGTCTACTTGGGGGTGATTATCAACTTCGTTAGATTTGCGTCCCCTACCCCCAAAGACAAGGCTTCTCTCAGTTACAGCCTTGGCTGTTCTGGAACTCACTTTGTAGACTAGGCTGTCCTTGAACCCACAGAGATCAGCTTGCCTCTCTAGTGCTGTCATTAAAGGCGTGCACCATCACTCCTGGCTTGTTTGCATCTTTTAAAATATAAAACAAAATATTTTTCAATCATGTGTCTGTATATCCGTGCGTCTGTGTGTGATTATGTGCAAGTGTGTGCAGCTACCCTTGGAAACCAGACGTATTGAATCTTTCTAGAGCTGAAGTTCCAGGCAGTTGTGAGCTGTCTGACGTAGGTACTGGGAACCAAACTTGGTTCTCTTCACTCCTGAGCCATCTGTCCAGCCCTAGATCCATCTTTTGTCATGTTTTCATTGCTGTGTTTAGTTGTTGGTTGTCCTTCCTCATAAACCTTTGTTTGTCTAGTTTTATAGGTTTTGTTGTTGTTATTTTGTTTTGTTTTTTTTCGAGACAGGGTTTCTCTGTGTAGTTTTGGTGCTGTCCTGGTTCTCGCTCTGTAGACCAGGCTGGCCTCGAACTCACAGAGATCCGCCTGTCTCTGCCTCCCGAGTACTGGGATTAAAGGTGTGCGCCACTGCCGCCCGGCTAGTTTTATATTTCTGATGAAAGTAAGCAGGTGATCTAAATTACCACTGGAAATGCTGATGGACAATTTGAATTCTTTTATCAGTAAAGACATTAAAATTATTTTCACTGGAAATAACATTTTAATCCTTAAACCATTTCAGATGGTGTGCAGAAGGTGGGAACTTGATTTGTTGCGACTTCTGCCATAATGCCTTCTGTAAGAAATGCATCCTGCGCAACCTTGGTCGAAAGGAGTTGTCTACAATACTTGATGAAAACAATCAATGGTATTGCTACATTTGTCATCCCGAGCCTCTATTGGACTTGGTTACTGCATGTAACAGCGTGTTTGAGAATTTGGAACAGTTGTTGCAACAAAACAAGAAGAAGATCAAGGTCGACAGTGAAAAGAGCAGTAAAGTATGTGACCAAACATCCAAGTTGTCTCCAAAGAAGAATAGTTCCAGTTGTAATGGAGAAGACAAGAAAGTCGATGTTTCGTGTTCTGCTTCTGTAACCTGCACTTACTCAGCACTAACTGTGCCCAAAGACATGATTAAGAAGACAAAAAAACTGATTGAGACTACATCCAACATGAACTCCAGTTACATTAAGTTTCTGAAGCAGGCAGCGGATAATTCAGAAATGAGTTCTGCTGTGAAGTTACGTCAGCTTAAGGCTTTTAAATCTGTGTTGGCTGATATCAAGAAGGCTCATCTTTCACTGGAAGAAGATTTGAATTCAGAGATCCAAGCTTTGGATGCTGTACACAAAGAGAAAAATACCAAAGAGCTTAAAATCACAGATGCAAAGGCCGACACAAAAGTACGGAAGGGGGAGAAATCCTGTACTGCAGAAAAGAAAGATTTTTTAAAGTTAGATGCTAGATCATCAATAAAGGTGACAGACAGTGAGCACACCCCAGGAGAAGAGCACAAAGCAAATAAAAGTGCTAGTGGTGAACAGAAGGGTTCGGGTAGGAAAGATGGACCTCAGTATGAACCTACTAACACTTCTGAAGACTTAGACATGGATATTGTGTCTGTTCCTTCCTCAGTTCCTGAAGACATTTTTGACAGCCTTGAGAATGCTATGGAAGTTCAGTGTTCAGCTGATTATCAAGGAGATGGTAACAGTGGGACCGAGCCAGAACTGGAGAGCACATCTCTGAAACTTAACACTTCTTCAAAAGACAGCAGAGGAAGTATGAAGTCGAAAACGGCAGTCAGAGTAAGAAAAGAGTTGTATGTTAAACTCACCCCTGTTTCCCTTTCTAATTCCCCAATGAAAGGTGCTGACTGCCAGGAAGTTTCACAAGAGAAGGATGGCCGTAAAAGTTCTGGGGTGACCCCCAACTCAGAGAAATGTGGACTGGAAGAGGAAAATAGTGATAATGAACATTCAGTGGAAAATGACGTTGCATTACTTCTAGAAGAATCTGATCTCCGAAGGTCCCCACGTGTAAAAACTACACCATTGAGGAGACAAACAGAATCTAATCGTGCAATATCAAATTCAGATGAAGAAAGCAATGAAACTATTAAAGAAAAACAAAAGCTGTCAGTTCCTGGAAGAAAAAAGGATAAGCGAAATTTTTCTGACGGTGCTGCCGAGAACCCTAAAGCTCATAAGTTTCCCAAAGCTAAGCAACCGGGGATTGTGGATCAGACTTCAGATTCCGATGAAATGCTAGCAGTCCTTAAAGAGATAAGCCAGATGAGTCACAGTTCTTCTTCAGACACTGACATTAATGAAATACAGATGAATCATAAAGTTGAAACAGGGAAAGACGATAATGGAAAAAGGAAACGGAAAAACTCTACTTCTGGGTCAGATTTTGACATTAAAAAAGGAAAGTCAGCTGAAACCTCTATTATCTCTAAAAAGAAACGCCAAAACTACTCAGAGTCCTCTAACTATGACTCAGAGGTAGAGAGAGAGATAAAAACCATGAGCAAAATTGGGGCTGCCAGAGTAGCTAAAAAAAGTGTTTCAGATAAAAAAGAACGTGACTTTTCTGAAGATGAGAAACAGAGCAAAAAAATTGTGGATAATGAAGGGCAGGAAAGAGTGAGGACTGCAAAAGAGAGCTTGTCTGGTGCCACTGGGGATGCTGAAGGCAAACAGGGAGATAGTTTGTCTGCAGTGGAAGGTTCAGGTGAGAAAGGCAAGGGTGCAGTGGGATCCAGAGAGGCGCTTTGTACGAGGCAGCAGCCAAGTGTTTTCTCCGATAGTGTGGAAAAGCCTTCAGGAGGAGAGGAGGATGTAAATTTGGATGACAAAAGAGTCTCTAAACCTAAAATAAAGACTAAATATCTGAGAGCCAGACCATGTAGAAAAGTACGGCGTGCTTCATTGGATATTACTGATAGATTTCCAAAGAAAGAACAGAGCGAGGAATCTTCCGAAGGTGAGAAGAAGCAGAGCAGACAGGAAACCGGAGCGAGAGGAAAGAAAACTACAGACTTAAAGGAAGAAACAATTAAGCAACAGTATGAGTCTTCCTCTGATGGGACTGAGAAATTGCCTGAGGGAGAAGAAATGGGTCCTTTTCCTCAAGGCCTAAAGCAAATCAAGAATGACAGCACTGATGCAGAGAAGAAGGGCAGAAAACTGAAAGAGAAGTCATCGAAAAAGAAGGAAGACGCATCTGATGGCGTGGATAAGTTGCCAGGGAAAGGAGATAGTTGTGACTCTTCAGAAGATAAAAAGAACAGGAATAGAGTGTCTCGGAGAGAGAAGAAGAAATCCAGCTTGCCTGCAAAGAGATCCGGGAAGAGGCCAGAGTGTTCATCATCAGATACTGAGAAATATTCCTTGAAAGGAGAGTGTTGTGACTCTACTGATAAGAGACCGAAAAGAACTGAATTGAGAGAAAGAAGAAATTTAAATTCAAAGAGAAATACCAAGGAAATACAGAGTGGTTCCTCTTCTTCTGATGCTGAGGGAAGTTCAGAAGATACTAAAAAGCGGAAGAAACAAAGAACTTCAGCGAAAAAGAAGACAGGCAATGCCAAGGCAAAAAGAAGAAACTCCTTAAGAACGAGTACTAAAAGGAAGCAAGCAGACATTACCTCTTCATCTTCTGATATAGGAGATGACGATCAGAATTCTGCAGGCGAGGAGAGCAGTGATGAACAGAAAATAAAGCCTGTGACTGAAAATCTAGTGCTGCCTTCACACACTGGATTTTGTCAATCTTCAGGTATGCAAGAATAAATTCCAACTTTAGAATTTGTAGTCTGCCCCCTCTGTTATAACCATATTGTTTAATTTTCTCTACGGTGAAATTCGGAGTTCCTCTTGAGGAAAAGTCCATTTACAATTGATTTAGACATTTACTGTAGGTATTTCTCTATTTACCTCTATGGCATCATTGCAGGACATTTCAGGTATTGTCAGTATTTGTCAAGCACACCGGGGTTGTTGGATAAACAACAGAATTATTTTGTTAGTGTTCATTGGGTGTCTTTGGAATAATGTATAGTAATTTAAGAAAGATAATAAAGTTGATGCTGTTACCAAACCTGGGGTTATAGTCTGTATGCCAACAAGCTAAGTTTTGCTATCTGCTATTTACCACAGGCCAACTAGAACAGTGTAATTTATAGTAAAAAGTCAAAATAGATTTATTCATGGTGAACACATTAGGAAGAAGGATAGAGATCCAGCAAACACCCCCCCACCCCATGTTTCAAGTGTTGAGGTGAGATTAAAGTTTGTAGAGGGCCAGGCATACATGAGTCTTGGTCAAGGTGTAGTCCCACCCGCTGTTGACTCATCAATTAGGCTTCAGCCAGTCTTCTCCTACAAGGCAGTGCTTTTTTTGTTCGTTTGTTTTTTGTTTTTGTTCTTGTTAAAATATGGAACTCTTCATGTGTGTGTGTGTGTATACACCTTGAGCAGGGCCAATGCTGATTTTGTATCGTTCCAGTTTTAGTATATGTGCTGCTGAAGCAAGCACATATAAGGTACTATGACAGGTTGATAGACCTGTGGAACCTCTTTTCCTAGAGACACGCTCTCCCTGTGGCTAGCTCTAGGATACTAGCTTTTTCCTTCTCCTCGAATGAGACGTCTAAGGATCTTTCTTGGGATCTATTGTTCAGTAGTTAACTTGAGCAGCACAAGTGTCTTCATCTTTATTCTGCCAGGCTGGTTATAATGTCATGCATTGGTGGTGAGTGCTTGATACTGGTATAGCATGGCATATACAAGTTTTGACTTGCTTTGCTATGAGATTTTGTTTTTTTTTAATCAAAGCATAATTTTATGTTCCATCAAATTCCTTGAAATATTTTTGTTTTAAAGATGGGCTCATATGCTGTGCAGTGGTGGCACACGCCTTTAATCCCAGTACTCGGGAGGCAGAGCCAGGTGGATTTTTGAGTTCAAGGCCAGCCTGGCCTACAGAGTGCGTTCCAGGACAGCCAGAGGGCTGTTACACAGAGAAAACCTGTCTCAAAAAAACAAACAAACATAAAAAGGTGGGCTCATATATACAAAGCTGGCCTTGAACTCAGTCTAACAAAGTTAGCTTCAGGCTGGTCACTATCCAATTGTTCCTAATCATCACATCCGACTTTCTGAAATAAATTGTTTTGATAGTAGATAGTGATCATTCCCAGGCCTTTGTGTACACTAGACTAATGCTTTAACACTGAACACCTAAACAATTGAAATTCACTTTATATAATTTCTTTCCTCATCAACTAGTATTTAATGGTATGAAAAGATATCCCCAAATTACCCACCCTGATGAATTAGATTTGGATCAACTTGTTCTTAATACCAAGAAATTTTTTTTCTTTTTTGTTTTTTTTTTTTTTAGTCAGGATTTCTCTGTATAACTTTTAAGCCTGTCCTGGAACTCACTCTGTAGACTAGGCTGGCCTTGGACTCTCAGATCCTCCTGCCTCTGCCTCCCAAGTGCTGCGAGATTAACTATCTCCCAGTGAAAAGGAATTTTTAATATTTAATTTTTATTATAGCTTTCAGAAAGTCCCTTGACTACTATATGTGCATTGGTTAATTTTATTGTTTATTTTTTAATTAGTTAAGACATTGTCAAGATATTTAGAATTATTAAATATCTAAATTTCATAGAAACCTGTTTTCCAGTATAGGCAAAATCAGAAGAATTTCCTCTTTATTCCTTATGATTTTCTCATATATTCCAACTTTTTAAATAAAACTAACTTCAGTCTTATTTTTTAAAAAAAGTTACTTAATTTATGGGACATTTAATAAAGCTCTTGAAGTGCTTTGATGTGATGCCACAAAATCAAACAATGTTTCTACAATGAAATATTTGAGTGTTCACACTCAGGAATTAACATTTTCAGATCAGGTTTTCCTGTCAAATGAGACTTTTTTCCTAACTTCCGAATTGTAGATAAAGAATTGTAGACTTGTATTAAAAATAGATCTAGGGGCTAGAAAGATGGCTCAGTAGTCCAAAGCACCTATTGCTCTTCTAGAGAACTAGAGTTCAATTCTCGGCAGTTATATTGAGTGAATCACAGCTACCTGTAAGTCCATCTCCAGGAGGTCCGTGTTCTCTGGCCTTCATGGCCATGTGCACAAACATGCATGTACTCATGCAACAGCCATATATACATAATTTTCAGAAACACAAGATATAATAGTTACTTTGATAGAAAATGTTTTAGGTATCAGGTTAGTTAGGAAAAACCCTATTAAAGATCAGAATGTAAGAATGAAAAGTTATTAGCTTATTACTGTATGGAGTGTTAACACTAGCAAATCATAGATAATTGATCCCATCTTAAATACTTCAAGATTGGCTTCTGTGATTAAATAGCTTCCCTGGTGAATTCTGCACATTTAATTAATTAAAATGTTTTGCTGATTTTATTTCCTAAATGTATTCTCTCTTGAGTTTAAAAAACATATTCTCTCTCTCTCTCTCTCTCTCTCTCTCTCTCTCTCTCTCTCTCTCGTCTCTGTCTCTGTCTCTGTCTCTGTCTCTGTCTCTGTCTGTCTGGGTCCTGAATGTTGGGGAGTCCAGTGCCTGTCATGTGTCATGGGCAAGTGGTCTACCACTGAGCTATATACCTAGTGATTTGACATATGTTAGATATTCTGTTTTCCTTTTTTAATTAGTATTTTGCTGTTTTGCCTGAACATATGTCTGTGCACCACATGTGTGTGTGGTGCTCTTGGGGATTAGAAGGCGGCTTCAGTTCCCTTGGACCTGGAGTTACAAAAGTTTATAAGCCACTGTGTGGGTACTGGGAGTCAAACTTGGGTCCTCTGCAAGAGCAGTGAGAGCATGAAGTGTCCCTAACTGCTGAGCCATCTCTCCAGACCTATCATTTATTTATTTTTCATGTTGTATAAGACAGTGTATAATTGCTCTGACTGGCCCAAAACTCTATGTAGACTAGAGCAGCTTCAAAACTGTAGTAATCTTCCTGCTTCTACCTCTTGAGTACTGAGGTTATGGGTTTGTACCACCATGTGCAACAGAATGTTTTTATTTATCTTATGTTTGGAATTATTAATATTTCGTGTAATAAGTAATATTATTCATTAGACTGTAGAAGTTGGCAACATGTGACAAACACCTCATGAATGCATTTCCCAGTAATCCCATAATTTAATACTAACCTAGACGATTATGTTCCATTTTCATACTAGAACCTTGATGTGGAGAGCTGTGGACTAATTAGATATTAGGGTTATATATCCAAAAAAGCTTGAGTATCTGTCTCTTAATCAGAAGCTAATCCTTCAACAGTTTGAAACAAACCTTGTTGCTTGTGAATTTCTTAGGACCAAGTGGAACACTTGGGATAAAAAATGGAAGATAAATTTGCTAGGGAATTTATCTCACCAGAACCTGGGCTTGTCAATAGAAACACACAAACAGAATAGAATATAAAAGGTCTTGAAGATAAACACTATGCACAAAATACTGGGTTTTTCAAGATAAACAGGTATGAGCCACTGATTAAAAAAAAAACATTGCTTAAGAATTTACTTGCAACAGGGCAGTCAGTGGTGGTGCACACCTTTAATCCCAGCACTTGGGAGGCAGAGGCAGGTGCATCATGATGTATCACGAATCTTTTTTTTTTTAATTTATTTATTTTATTATGTATACAGAAGAGGATGCCAGATCTCATTACAAATGGTTGTGAGCCACCATGTGGTTGCTGGGAATTGAATTCAGGACCTCTGGAAGAATAGTCAGTGCTCTTAACCTCTGAGCCATCTCTCTAGCCCCGTATCACGAATCTTAAAAGGTTTTATTAATAAAAACAAACCCCAAACCTGGAGCCAGGTATTGGGGTGAACGCTGAAAGATCAGAGAAAGAGAACAGGCTATAGCTAACCTCACCTTGCCAACTTCTCAGCTGATCCTGTTTCCTCAAACTGGAAGCCTCTGAGTCCTCATCCAAATGGATCTCAGCTGCTAAAAGCCTAAAAGCTTAACCAGGCTCTATTTCCTGGTCCTCATGCCTTAAATACCCTTCTGCTTTCTGCTATCACTTCCTGGGATTAAAGGCGTGTGCCACCGTGCCTGGCTGTTTTCAGTGTGGTTTTGAACTCGCAGAGATCCAGATCTCTGCCTCCAGAATGCTAGGATTAAAGGTGTGTGAGCCACCACTTTCTGTCTATGTAAGTAGCAGCTGTTCTGTTCTCTGACCCCAGATAAGTTTATTAAGGTGAACAATATTTTAGGGAAACAAAATATCACCACATTTCCCCTTTTTTGTCTAAAATTTAAAAAAGCTTAAAACTAATAAAATAAACTATATCCAATAAGTATATACAGTATATACAGTCAAGAATTATATTAACAATGTCTAGTCCATTAACATTTGATAGATTCAGACAAAAAATTCCATTATATATATTAACAATGTCTAGTCCATTAATATTTGACAAATTGTATGAGTATGAGGCCAGCCTGGTCTACAGAGTCAGTTCGAGGACAGCCAGCGCTACACAGAGAAACCCTGTCTTGAAATACAAAACAAAACAACAAAAAAAAAAAATGATACCTTGACCCCTAAAGAAAATAAAAATAAAATTGAGAAAGCCACATTGGGAGCTGTAATGGTAAATGAGCTATTGAATATTTCATGGAAAAATTTAGACAAATTTGTGGTATTTGAACTTGACTTTGGAGTTTACATCACCATTTAGACAATAAAGGGGCTTACATCACCTGGCATGATGGTAATAGTTTATAATGCCAGCTCCCCAGAGGTATAATCACTGCAAGTGATCTGAAGTTTTTAGGGGTGACATTGCAAATTATTGATCAAGCAGGGCTAAATAGTGTGACCCCTGTCTCTAAGAAAGAGGGATTGAAGGTAATATAGCTAGTTATACGTTGTTTCAGAATTGTTCTGTTCAAGTGGGATGTTTTACTGGGTTAGCCTGAGAGTTATTTTGCCTTTCTGCATTGCATATTTCCATCCTGAATCTGTAGGTATCCATCCATCCCTTCCTCCGTGTTAGGTTTCAGTTCCTTGCATACACTAAGCAAGTACTGTGCTTCTGAGCTATATTCCACAGCCCAAACTCTGTGTTCTTTATAAATGTTTTCCCCTACCATTATGTTGTGGAAAAATTGCAAAGAAAAAGAGAAAAGGGGTTTCAGGTATTCCCTTTACTGGATTTCCTCACTCGTGATAACTTGTATAACTAATACAGTGCCAAATCCATTGAAACTGAAGATTTATTTAGATTTCAGTATGTGTTAAAAACATTATTATTTATGTGTATGTTTGTGTGTCTGTGCATTTGTATGAGTGCCCACAGGGATCAGAAGGGGTGTCAAATCGCCTGGATCTGGAGCTGACAGGCAGTTGTGAACTGCCGGATAAGGGTGCTAGGAACTGAACTCCAATCCTGGTAAAGAGCAGCAAGTTTGGTTTTAACTCACAGAGATCCTCCTGTGTCTGCTTCTCGAGTGCTGGGGTTAAA